GAACCTGGAATTGAAATGATTGTTACTTTTCTTTATTTAGCAGTAGCTCCTCTTCCATAAAACCATCTCAGCCTGTGTTACTGAATAAATGTTAAACCATGTAATTTCTGATTCAGAATTTCTCTTTGTAGACCCGGCAGAGGGTGTGAAAAAGCCGACCAGCCACTAACAAGGAGTCTGCTTGTGTTTATTTCCAAACTGTTGATGTCTTCCAAACTGTGACTTTGTCTTTAAGGCCCTAAAATGAAAATGAACCAGCTTTGCCTTGATTTGTTTCAGAATGTGTTGTGTGTGTGAAGTGACGTCAAGGGTTAAATGCGCAGGTGTGTGTGTATGTGTGTGATGTGTGTGTGTGGGGGCAGAGGTCAAACTCAGATATCATTTCTCAGGTGCATCCATGCTATTTGAGGCAGGGTCTGTGCATTTGCCTGGAGCTCCCTGGTGAGGTCAGGCTGGCTGGCCAGTGAGCCCTGGGGATCTGCCTGGCTCAGTCTCTCCACTGACTGGGGTTATTATCTGGGTTTTAGAGGTTGAACGCTTGGGAGGATAAAGTATAACAAGCATTTTATCAACAAAGTCATCTCTCCATCTCCAGTTTTGTCTTTTTTATTTCTTGAACTTTCTATGAATAGAATCCAGTGCTGTGGGATGTCTTTTTGACCACTGAACTTTGCCAAAACAGAGCTAGATGGTCCTTCAGGTTCCTGCTTCACAGAAGAAACTGCCAGACATTCTGCAGGACACAGAAAAAAGCAATTGACAAACTTTGCCAATAGGTGAAACAGTCCTTCAAATTTCCTGCTTCACTGAAAAGTCTGCCAGAGACTCTAGGCCTGTAGGCTGAAGATGGATGCCCCAGGATTGCAGAGGGACTTTGGATGACTGTCCAGGCAGCCAGATGTCTCTGTCATTTCTAGAATATTGGAAGTTGCTTACAATGCCCTTCCTGTTTACTCAGGTGATATTATATCCTTCTGGGGTCTTTGATAGGGTTGAAGACTAGATAGTTATAACTATAGTTTTCCTTAGTTATGATAAAAGGCAAATTAAATATAAAACTTTAGATTCACAAATATAGGATAGATGATAGAATATTCTCTTTAATTTTACCAAGTGCAAATACAAATAGAATAGACATTATAACTGTAATTCTTGCTTGACAACTGTTTGGTTATATATAATTTTACTATGTTAAAGCTAAAACCTTCCTTTTTGATTAGACAGAAAAGGAGAAGTGCTGTGGGATATCTTTCTGTACATTGCGAATATATGTTTCTCTCACTGGTTGATAAAGCTGTTTGACCAATGGCAAGGTAGAATAAGGTTGGGCAATACATTCAACTGAAGATGGAGATGAAGAAGGGTGGAATCAAGGAGATGCTGTGAGCCACTGCCAGGAGAAGCAAGATGTGAGAGAATGGGAAATGCCACGAAGCCACGTGGTAAAACATAGATTAATAGGAATGGGTTGAGTTAAGTTGTAAGAACTAGTTAGTGAGAAGCCTGAGCCATGGGCCATACAGTGTGTAATTAATATAAGCCTCTGTGTGTTTGCTTGGGACTGAGTGGCTACTGGACCAGGCAGGACACAGAGAAACTTCTGCCTCCAATCCAGTAATATTTTTGTCATTTACCTAAATGACTTTTACTTCGCAGGCATTGACTCCTAATGCTCAGGGCAAGTCATCCACCATTCTTCAAGATTCTTCATCCAGCACTTGTTTTCATCTTTTCTCTTCATTGCCCTCATCTGAGCCTCACTGTCCAGATTTAAGAAGGAGGAAGGTCCAGCCAGAAGAGCATCCAATGTCTTGGCACCTCTTAGAAGGACGCACAATAGTATGGCATTTATTTAGTGATAAAGCCACTGTGAGGGCAGATGACTCTCAACAGTGTCATGGTCCAGATTGCTGTCACAGTACAGGAAAACTGTCACCTCTTTACTTCAACTTCTCTCTCCAAGTCACAGAAGGGCGGACTTTTGCCTGTGAGGTTACTCACATTGTCAAATACACTGTACATGATCAAAAACATCCAGTGTCTAAACGCTTCCTGCTTTGAACTCCGTGGGTGCTACAACCTCCCAAAGAAATTCTGAATCCTCAGATATTTCCCCATTTCCTGGGAGAATGAGGAAGAGGTATTATCTAGGAACAAAAAAGTAAAATACTATTAAAAGATTCATATACACGTTTACAGCACATTTCTTAATGACTATTATGGAAGAATCTCTCTTTCACAGGGTGGTTAAGGTTTATTGTAACAACATTACACCATTTGCTTTATTTGTTTGTTGTTTATCATGTGTCGGGGCATCCATGTGCCATAGTGTGCATGTAGCGATCAGAGGACACCTTTGGGGAGTTGGTTCTCTCCTTCCACCATGTCGGTCCCAGGGATCAAACTCAGGTTGTCAGGAGTGATTGCAAGCACCTTCGCTCAGCCAGGTCCCTAGCCCTGCCACGTGTTTCATTATGTACTGTTTAAAATGCACAATATATGAAGTCAAAGGACACTCAGATTTTCTGCTTAAAACAATTTTTATTTTTAATAAAAAATACAGATACATTGTTACAAATGAAGAGGACTTCTAGGTCATTCCAAAGATGAATACATTTTCAAACTTAAAAAAACCTTTAGATTTTCATCTATATAAACTTTACCACTGTGGCCTGGTTTCCTCTGCATTTTAATAATGCAGCCAAATATCCATTTTTGAGGTTATTTTTCTAACCTTTTGTTTGAGACAAAGTCTCATGCAGCCAGGCTAGCTATGTGGCTGAGGATGACTTTGAACTTCTGATCTTCTGGCTTCCATCTCCCAAGTACTGGATTATAGGTGTGGGCCACCATGCCTAGCTCCAAATTCCCATTTGTTAGGTTGCATTTAAGAGCTAAAGTGAAAATGCTCTGGGAAACCTGAGTCCCCCTTTGCACACTGAGTAAGGACTGTTCTTACTGTTAGTCCAGCACTCATGACAAAGTAGAAGCACAGACCAGCATCTGTGCAGAAGCGAGGGGCGGGCTGCTCCACATGCTCCTCTCGCTCAGTACAGGCATGCTGAAAGCCTTGTCTCGGGAACTTAGGTTGCGTAAGCTTCTCAGCCTGTCTGTCCTCATACATCATTCCTGGTAGTCACAATACTAGCAAAAGGGACAGGTACTAGGGATGGTGACATTTAGGTGTCTGCTTCACCCTCAAGATCTTTAGACTGTATTTACTTTTAGGATTAAAACGTAATTGACTAATATTCAGTGTCTGGAAAACATTTTAAAGCTTTTATTATGAAAAAAGATCCACTGTATGTGGTGGCTCATGCCTACAATCTCAGCATTCAGGAGGTTATCAGGAGGATCACAAGTTCAAGGCTAGCATGACTATGTAGCAGGTTCCAGAACAGCCTTAGCTACAGCAAGACCCTGCCTCAAAAAACAAAAACAAAAACAAACCAAAACAAAACCAACCAGCAAAAACCAACATCAACAACAAAAATAAAAACCCAGAAAGGAAAATCAAAAGACCTACTTTTCATACAATTCAAAATAATCGAGCTGGACAGTGACCTTGGAGAGACTCGGCTAATGTCGAAAGCAGGTGAGGTAGGGTGTTTTCTGTGGGCTGAAGGGTGGGGCCATGAATAACCAGAAATGTCTGGAAGAACTGTATTACTGTTAGGTCTACTCTCATGAAATAACTTTTAAACCAGCGGTTCTCAACCTGTCGGTCGGATCCTTGGGGGAGGAGGCCGGATGTTGAATGGCCCTTTCACAGGGCTTGCATATCAGATATCCTGAGTATCAGATATTTACATTATAATTCATAACAGTGGCAAAATCACAGTTATGAAGTAGCAATGAAAACAACTTTACAGCTGGGGGTCACCAACAGGAGGAACTGCAGTAAAGGGTCGCAGCATTAGGAAGGCTGAGAACCACTGCTCTGAACATTCACTCACAGAACATCCTCACACTCAGCATTAAATTGCTACAGCTGTTCAATTCTCCTTTTCACTTGAAAATGTTTTCTTTGCTTTCCTAAAATGATACACATTCACACATTTCACTACATGCTCTTTTAATTTACAGCCCTTTTTGCTTAGAAGTCATGCTTTCTATTCCCACAAACCCTGCTCGACGCCGTTAACGGAACAAACCTCCCTGCAGATCTTCTGTGAGTCAATCCTCCTCACTGGAACTCACAATAAGAACTTCTCTTTGAAAGACGGACACAGGGTCAGACACTTCTAAGGGGTGTCTGGAGGGAGCTCATGTTTCTGTCTGAAATTGCCTTTTCTTGGGCTAGCTCAAAATACACACGGAAGATTATTTACACCACACTAAACTTTCTTACATGTTCTATGCTGTTTGTATTTTAAAACTGTCTTATTGTGAATATACAAAGAATATAGATGTGACAATTTAAACATGTTCACCCACGGCCCTGAGCTTGAGCAAAAGACACGCTTTGGGTTCTCTCACCAAGAAGACAGAAATAGTCAGCTGCATCCATTACCTTTGTTCCAAGCTGCCCTAAAATCTTCATCATGCACCTCAAATTACCATTGTCATTAATAATACTCTCATATCCTTACTAATGGCACCAGAAAAGGTGACAGAGACAGAAACCTGAACTCCAAGAAGGAAGCCAATCTCCTAACCCACACTGCATTTTAAGGCGATAGTGTCTTCCTTTGGCATTGATAGTACAGAATTTAAAGATGCTTAGGAACCCTCCCTATCTAATATCTTAAGGTCATTTTTTTTTTTTTGTAAATATACATGTTTACTCCTGCTTGAAAAAAATTAGAGAATTAGAAATGACAGCATACCCAGCTTTGGTATATGAATCCAAGTATTTGAGTTATAATCCTGGTCAGAAATTATCCAGTAAGAGCCAAGTTAGTTCAACACCATGCATGAGCTTTGCTAGATTAAAAAAAAAAAGATATTTGGGTAGAAATATCTAAATTTGGTTGCTATGTTTTTCCAGTTTGCTCAGGTCATAGATGGGAGCAGGTTTCTTTTGTATAGAGCATACTGTACGAGCCTCGCAGCTCCGTGGGAGCCACTAGGCTGCCAGAGACACTCGGAAGGGGGCAGATCACCCTTTCTGTTACCGTGACGTTCTGGGTGAGATGTGGGTCAAAGGTGGCAGCGGTGGGCTGCACGAAGGAGCCTGAAGTTGCGTGAGTTTCTGTGAGCAAGTAGTTACCAAGCTGTAGAGGGTCAGGGATGGCAATGGCAGGGAGGACAGACCCGGAAGGGGACAAAACAGAAGAAACTTGACTGCCAGGCAAAGTCTGGTACCTTTGAGAACCTGACTGAGGGACCTCCAGACTGCCAGACAGAGTTTGGTGCCTGCTAGAACCTGATTGAGGGACCTGCAGACTGCCAGGCAGAGTCTGGTACCTTTGAGAACTCGACTGAGGGACCTCCAGACTGCCAGGCAGAGTTTGGTACCTTTGAGAACCCGATTGAGGGACCTCCACACTACCAGGTACAGTTTGGTACCTGCTAGAACCTGACTGAGGGACTTCGGTAGAGCGAGCACAGACGTCTGCCCCAGAAGCCCTGTCTTTAGGGCCTGGCCTTGCCTGCTTGGCTTCATCATCAATACCCAGACATATCTCTGCAAGCTTTTTAAATTTGGGGCCAAGGGAATCCAAGAAGCTGTCATCCAGGTCATCGGCAATAAAGCTGCAGGAGCTGAGTGAACAGGGGGCAGCATCCTCGCCTTCATCATCGTAGATCAGCAAACAGTCATTCACTTCCCGTTCATCCTCTTCCTCGGCATAGGCGAATGATTTCTAAAGATGGAGAAAGAGGAGAAACAATCTCACAAAGACCATCCCATTCTATTCATCAAGTCCAAGGCTGGAGTGTGGACCCCCACATTAGGTAATCCACACTGGTGATGAAAATGTTCTTCATTTTTAAATTTGATTATTTTTTTCCTCTGGATAGCTAAAATGTTTTCATTTATTTATTTCTATTGTTAGTATGTTTTTAGTTAGTGATCAATATAATAGGTTAGTGACATTCTCATAAATATATATCCTTGATCTTTGCTCATATTTAGACCCTCCTTTACCCATTCTTGCTCTTCCCTCCCTCCTGTTAGCCATTTTCCTTTCCCCAAATAGTCTCTCCTCAGCTTTCATGTGCTATATATGCATATATAGTTAAATACAGATGTTTGCAAATGAGAGAAAACATGGGGTAGCTTTTCTTCTCGTTACCATCCCATGTTCCCCCCGTCTCTCCTGTTCTTCTCCTTCCCTTCCAAGCAGTCCCCTCCTGCTTCCACGTATAGATAAAAATAAACCTAGACTCCACATATTAGAGAAAGCATGATGCTGGTCTTTCTGGGTCTGGCTTCAGGAAATCCTCTTTAACACTCTTGTTTGGGGAATTGACAGTATGGCTGACATTCCATTGAAGAGTCTAGCCTAGGCTTATCTTTTAGCTCTTGATTTTATCTGGGTTTCAGTCTCCATAGTAACTGAATATGCTGCCTGGAGTCTATCCCTGAACTGCTCCATCTTTTTGTGTTGGGGGAGGCGCAACTTTCCCAGCGTGCACTGAGACAGTTTTCACCCCAGTGAACTTTGCGCTAACTTTGTCTCCATCAGCTTGGCCTGTGAGTTTGAACTAGTGGCTCCATTTTGACAGCCCCAAGATGACCTGATTTATTTTGACAAGAGGAAGCTTTTCTTTCCTTCCACTAAAAAAAAAAAAAAATCTCAAAACTAACGTCTACAACCAAGCAACCAGACTTCCTGTGTAAAGGAGATAACCAACCCAGCCTGACAGGTGGCTACCCAGTTACCTGAGAAAAGTAGGAACCTAGGAAAGTCATGTTCACTGGTGCAGCGACAAAGTCCTTCAAGGTCCCTCCAGTGGAGTGCCTCGTTCTCATCGTCCCTGAATGACCCAAGGAGCAGGGGCCGAGCGTGGCTGCAGCGCCGGAGCCAGTGGCTGCTCCCAGCTTGGTCGTCATCTCCATCCCAGAAGCGCCTTCCGCCACAGTCCCGCCGGCGTATGTGTTCGTACAAACTTCTGAAGACAGAAGGGAGAGTTCTGAAATGCTCTGCGCTGTGATTTTTTCAAAGCTTCTGTGTGTATGCATATGTGTGTGTACATTTGTGTGCACGTTCATGCGTGTGTGCATGCCCGTGTGGCATGTGTGCACATGTGTGCGTGTGGAAGTCAGAAGTCAGTCTTGGGTGTTATTCTCAGGGCACCATCCCTCCTTTTTGAGTCAGGGTCTCTCACTGGTCTGGAACTTGCTGATTCAGTTAGGCTCTGTGACCAGTGAGCCCCAGGGAACTGCTCCCCGGCATGGGCCACCATGCTTAGCTTTTTCATGGATTCAGGTCCTCACCCTGGTATAGCAAGCACTTGACCGACTGAGCTCTCTTTTCAGTCCCTAAAATTCTTTCATCTTTGATGGACAGTTGCCATGTAAAGCAGCAATGTCAGGGAAAGCACAATGATGTGACCGGGGTCATAATATTCCAGGTTTATGTGAGAGTCACAGTGGAGGGACGTGGGCAGGCAGAAAAGCCATGAAAACGTGTCACTTAATGAAGAGTACAGGGGAAATAGACTGTCAGTGGCAAGAGCCAGAAACACAAAAGTGAAAAAATACAGTAGTCGGTGATCAGCCATAGAGAGCTTCTGACCTCACGTGTTCTCAGGTACAAGAACATTGCAATCAAACAGTCATAGGATTTCAGTATGGGAAATGAGGAGAGTCTCCATGATGTGACCTTGTAAAGTGACAGACAGTGTCCAAGGGAAATTTAAAGAAATTCCTATTTATTTCATCTTATGTATTGATAGATTATTTAAATTTATTTTTACTTTTTATTTATGTATGTGTGTGGATACGGACACATGTGTATGGGTGTTCACAGAAATTGTCACAGGATGTCAGGTCCCCTGCAACTGGAGTTTACAGGTGTTTAATAACCACCCAGTGTGGGTACCAGGAATTGATCCCCAGTTCTCTGGAGGATCAGCCAGCCCTCTAAACCACCTAAGCAGCACTCCAGCTCATCATGAGTTTGCTATATAATCACAATGGGAGAAGCAAGTATTTGAGAAGCTGTTAAAGGCTGTCACGTAGCTGGAGATAACTTGTGTAGATTCTTGCTAACTATAGAATTAAGAATAAAATTCCTGTGAGTGCCAGGTGTTGCTGATCACTAGTTTATAGTGTACTTCTGGTAATGAGACAACATGACTAAAATTGCCTTGGTAAATCCAAGGAAACAACAGATGCACTTATGTGCTTGCTTTAGGCTTCATGCCTCATGGTTACTGTACAGAACTAGTAACTGAACTCAAATCAGGACACAGTTGATGCTGTCACACCAGGAAGAGGGACAGAGTTGCAGATGCACACACACACACACACAGATGCACACACACACACACACACACACAGATGCACACACATGAGACTTGATGGGTAAGCATGACCTGACCTGAGCCAACAATAGACAGAGTCGGTGGTGGGTATGGCTACTGCTTACAATTTCATTTACAGTTTTCTATCACTGTAAAATATTTCATAATT